AAACAAAAACAGTGAATACAGAACTCAGAAAGTAAGTTTTACTTCTTTTTAGGTTTGAGAGTGCTCTGCTGTCCTGGCTGATCCTGTGGCAAGTCTGGCCCTGTTCAATATTAAAATAAAAAGTAGCGATGTACGCTGCTTACTACAGCAGGTAGATTGTCCAGTCCTTGTTTTAATGGTCTCTTCTTGATTTCAATCACAGATGTACCCCTATTAAAGGGAATCAGAAGCCAGTGCTCACATCTTTAGGACTTCCTACCGGTACATCAGATGTCAGAGTCTTCACTGCGCCAACTATAGATCTGCAGGCTCTCAAAACAAACTTAGCAATGTAAATTCAACCTTTCAGATACAACATCCTCCTCTGAAGCCTTATAAAAATACCAGTGCAACATAGAGCCATTTTACAAAACAATTATCTTTATAGAAAGGTATTTTAGTGGTATATGCTGAGGTAAATAATAAAAAACAGGCCCAACAGAGGGCATGACCAGTGTTATGGAGAACTCTGGATGAAATTTGGCCAAAAGCCTGTTTTACAAAAGCTAATATTTACCTACCAGATATGATCCCTGGTAAGGTGCTTATTGCTGTAATACTTCAAAATTATTCTTCAGTTTACAAATTGAAAAATATACGAAATTAAATCTGTATGAATGTTAGGTATTAGCTGTCACAAATTTTGAAAGGCATTGTACCAAGTTTTCTTAATTGTTTACTAACCAATTTGATTGTAGCAGGTAAATAAACTACAGCATACATTTTACCTGACACCATGCATCAAAATCACCATAAAAACTAAGTTTATCAAAGTCCAACTCCACAAGGAAAACATGAAAAAGTGCAAATTATGTACCCAGTATTTCTGTCACAGCTGGTTTTCTTAATATGGCATGAAAAAGGTTTACAGCATATATTAAGAAAATTCTTACAAGTGTTCACCTCAATGCTTATATATACAACATTCTGCTCAAAGTGCTCACTATATGAAAAAAACTGATTGGATAAAAATATTTAAACAGTGCTTTCTGAACGTTCAGGAAAAATTAATATAATACATCAGTCCCATTTGTTTTCCTCTTCACTCAGTGCAACGAGAAGCAGAAGTCACATCAACTTCATGAAAACTTGCTAGCCACCGTGCCAGAAAACGTCAGCTACAGTGGCATTCTTGGTGTCCCATTGGGAGTGGGTCTTTTAGTTTTTTGCATGTGGCTTTGATGTTTTCGAGATCTTACTACTTTCATTCTTACTTCAAATACTTCTTGTATGGCTTTTCGAAAACAATGGAAATTGTAGTCTATTAATCCTACAGAGACAGAAATGTTTCCCGTATTAATAAAGACATTTATACAAATTAGGTGATGAAAAAGTTGCTTATATTCTACATTTAGTGAAATACAACACTTTCTGAAGGTCATAATCAAGTGAATTTTCCAGGCATTTTTTCTGTCCTCAGTAAAAGCATATTTGATAAATACAAATAATTCAGTGAACATTATAGTTTCATACTATGTCTGATGTTAAATATACTTACTAGTCTTAAGAGAAAACAAATAGAAGTTCATTGGCAGATAACAAAGCCTTAACTTAAAAAGAGCTTTGGAGAAGTGCTCAGTATACTACAAGAGAAGTTATAATCTTTCATAAAGTACAGTGTAATTTTGTAAATTTGCTTTACAGAATAACTGTGATAAAAATAAGTAGCATCCAGTAATAAAAGAATTTTCTTTTTTTTGACAATGCATAAGCTTTGAAATGGGTACTTGATAGAAACATTGCCAAATAACAACCAGCTGTATTTCATCTTACATTGTAATTGAAAAATAACAGAATAGACATGCTGTTAGGTTACATACATACATACATAATAGGCAGATAATATTACCGTGCAAGTGGGATGAATGTGATCCCACAGAAAAGCTGTAAAGCCATATTAGTAGTCAGTCAGAAGGCTTACTGGGTGGCACAATTGTGTAATAGTGCAATACAATTTTAGAATTTTGGTACTGAGCTTATGACCTCATTCAAAGTTATGCCATAAGCCTTCCTAACTCAAATACTGCAGTGTTTTCCACTTCAACTTCCCTAACAGGAGATGATACATATTTTAAGAGGTTTAAATCCACGATGTTACACTTTAATTTTTTTCCCAGGAATTACTTTCCCTCTCCCTAAACTTCAGACAAAATATTATGTGGAAGTCACTAGGCACCAAAAGCTAATCTGCATTATAATGCCAAAACTGTACTGTTAAAGGGTACAGGCTACAGCACAAAGTGTCCCAAACTATGTAGACACAAGAACCTGACACAGTTGTGGACAATCCCTAATGGGTGTTTATTCACATCGTGTCTTTTCTGAAACAGTGTTGTTAGTGGGTACACTTCTTATGCTCACAGCAAAAAAAGGAGGTGACCACATCTAACATTCCTAGATAATAAAGGCAGTATGGTTATTAAAGAGAAATTCAACCAGTCGAAGTTCTATGAAATAAAAGAACTATGTAGCCTGTCAAGCAGTCCAGCAGACATGGTATGAGTACTGCATTTGCAAACACACCAACACTGACTGGTGAATTCGTATCACAAGCCCAGATGATGGCTCATTCTTCCACTTCTTAGTTCTGGTCTCAGGGCATTTCACTGAGACCAGTAACGCAGTGAACATCACACCAGTGAGCAGAGCGATCATGAACTAAGCTTTCAGTATTGACCTTGACCGGGGTCAGAGAGATAACCAAGAAATTTTATGTACTTTAACTGCAAAATGTGAAAGACACCTCGCTCCCAAATATGCAGCTTTTCAAAAGCCTCCTTTCAGAGATGAGAAAAGCAGGAACATATTTCTATCAGCCAGTTTCAATAATTTTGCCTTCGTTATGGCATGCAAGCTGTTGCAAATGTGTATGCTGGCGCCAACAGGTACAAATCAGCATTAGCCAAGCTAAACTGACACATTCTCCTGTTGCAGATGGAAGCTTTACTGTACTGGATGTAAACTTTCATATGGTTTCATATCAGAAAGTTGTCAAATACATTTATGACTTCATCTTATCTTAATGCCAGCACAAATACCTCATGCCTTTAAACATGTTATGTAAGCTCTATCAAGCTGTACTTACCTTTAATATTTGTGATACGGCTAGAGACTGTTATCAGCTAATGACAACCACAGTTATTCGTTAACTTGCTAATCTAAGGGAAAAGTAGTGCAATAGTAGAAAAGGGAAAAATACCTTTTCTCTCAAAGCTTTCTTCTCTGACAAAACAAACAAGAGCAAGGAATTTTGTCACCTCTTTTAAATAAAGGACAGTTGTATTGTTCAGTTTTATGATTGCCATTGATTCTTTGTCATAAGGAGTTCCAGTGCCATCATCTTTAAGCCTAAGGGACGATATTCAAACAAACAAACAAGAAAAGATAAGCCACCAGATGAGCTGACAAAAGTACTCCCACATTGATTCTTTCACCAGATAATCTCAAACTTTATGAAATTCTCATTTTAACCTTTCAGGGAAACTCTTCTTCAAACTACACACTACATAAACTAAAAATAAATAGAGTTTAAATAATTTATCCAATCACACACCAAATCTTAGATCTAGGGCTAGGAATCAGATTGATTGATTGCCAAGTACCTGAGCTGAAGCCTATTTTTTCCTCTATTAGTTGCCAACCACTTACCACAAGGTTTTCTGTTTTCTTTTAATCAATGCGCTACATTAGGACTTTACCTAACACGTGTGAACCAGTAAGTCTGTACTGATAATTCCAGACCTAGTAACCTTGCTTGAACAATGGCAGCTGACTGATAGTTTAAGCCGTCATGAGACTTTATGCATGAGATGTTGGCTTTTGCAACACCATATAATGAAAAGGGAAGCAGTGGCTGCCTCTCCCTGGCGGTGTTCAAGGCCAGGCTGGATGGGGCTTTGAGCAGCCTGGTCTGGTGGGAAGTGTCCCTGCCCATGGCAGGGGGGTTGGAACTAGATGGTATTTAAGGTACGTTCCAACCCAAACCATTCTATGATGATTCTATGATTTCTCTTTCACAGCTGAGGTGTCATGATGATCACCGTATCAGTTTTAGTTTCATACCTTGTAACTTAACCCTCATTCCTGAATGCGCACACAGATCTTGTTAAATGGGTAGTTATCACTGACCTCCCAGAACAATTAGTATCAATAATATATTAAGCAAGTTCCACAGTTGCTCCAGGAACAGAGGACAAGAAATGAATTGTAGTATCATGTCTTTAGTCTATAGCTAAAAACATGGTAAGCACATTTCTGGTGATAAATGCTAAATGGTTACACAAAGACAGTGGCAGAGTGACATTTTGTGAATAGAGAACCCCACAAGTGGTGTTGTACAGATAATAATTAAATGCATAGTCTTTGGAACTACACAGCAGCATCTTTCTGTGTACACAAAAAATACCACAGAATCAGCATCCTTTATGATATACCTCTGTAAAACACAAGTTGGGGTACAGTTACTGAAGTGAACAACTCCAAAATCTGACACGTACAGTAGAATATACAAACAAAAATTTTAGAAAAGTATTCAACAATTTCTTGTTCTTTTGAAATTCTGATGCTTGGTGCATATCTGCACCAGGATCCTTCCTCGTACCTTCTCCAAGAGTGCAAGAAGCCTACCAACGGGTAAGAATGCAAGGCTACCAAAAAGACCACCACAGTCTAAGCATGCTGCGGTTTAGCCTCCAAGTCTATGCATCTTAATGCACTAATTCTTAATGTGCCTCTGCCTTTCCCAGGAATAGCTGGCATTGCATTTGGCCAAGCGCCAAGTCATTTAAAACATAACTTGCAAGGAGATGTACACGCTGCCCCAGGAGACCTCCAGCTGCTAATGTATGAGGAGGGGAAACTGAAAAAACACACCAAGGTCATGTGGGGAAAAGAGGACTAACAGAGAACTAAAGAAAGAGTGAAGCAGCCCTCTGAGGCCAGTAGAGGCCACTAGCTATCAAAGTAAACAAAAGTAAATATGGCCCCACTTTTTTCTAATGGGAGGTATCCTTCTGTTGAATTCGTTCGTGGGGAACAAAAAGGTGATGTTTCCTTTTATTTTAGGTTGGTTACTTCCCACTCCTTCCTCCACATAATATTACTAGCACAGAAACAGGAAGGTGTTCACAAAAGCGGTTGGGCAGGGAACAGTGCTGCTTGTTGGCAGGGTATCTGTACCTCAGAGGCCTGCTGTTTCCTCCTTCTCTCCTGTCCTGACAAATTACACATTCTCATTATTGTTTATACCCACTTCATTCTAATTTTGAGGCCATTCAGATTCTACGTACACAGTTTTATAGAAAACATTAACAATTTACTTACCCATATATACAAGAAATGTCAATCACAACATCTATCATATCACAGCAGAGCTCATAAGTTTGCATATCCACCGGAGTACTGTCCGTTGCAATATAGATCTTACTGACTACATCAAATAAAAATGCTTTTTCAATCCCAGAATTCTATTTAAGAAAAGAAGAAAGAAAAATAAAATGGAAGCCACGTCTTCCAACTAATACCAAGCTTTTTTGTTCCCCTACTTGCCTGTTACGCAAAAAGCTAGGCTGAAGAAGGGGAAGTTAAACTGCAATCAAGCTCATTTTGAAAGAACTGTACATACAGCCCTGTTGTATTTGTAGCAAACCGTGATGATCACAGACCTTCCAACAGTTTTTTGCTTCTGAGCAGACATAACCCCAAGTTACACTCCCAAACTTCCCCTCTCTGGAAAACATCTGGAGAGATTACATTTATTTTCAGTGGAAGATGCGGGGGGGGGGGGGGGGCAATCTTCCAATATCAAGCTTTTGGATTTTTGATTGTAACAACAGACATAAAAAGAGAGCTGTAATTTAAAGTTATTCTAGCTGGACATGTAAGAAGGTAGAAACAAGGAAAAGAAAAAGTTGATGGACAAAGAAGGCGGTACTGTTCGGGAACTAATTTCTCAAGGAAACTGAGAGATTGTCTCACTGGGGTCTGTAGCTGTTTTATTATCTGGTTCCTTAGAATATCTTTTAGGATTGCAGGAGAAAGACCAGTATTTTCATGGTGCTCTTTCAGTTTTCATGTAGCACTGGCAGTTAAAGCCATGTTTATAATGCTAAGGCTTGCTAATGTGATGACAGGTATGTTCCCGTCATCCTGCCAAGCCGATTAAGACTCTCTCCATAGTGGAGATGTATCGTATTCGCAGCTCTCAGAGGCCAGCTTGCTCATACTCTTTGTGTAGATAAGGTAAACTGCCATAAACCTCTGCTTCCTAGAATAAAAAATAAATTAAAAAAAATGTGTAATGCTTAACTGAAAACACTTGCTTTGCTTGCTGAAATCAAGGGATTGCACCTGGGCAGCTGTCCCAGTATGAACACAAATGGCAATTTCCCAGTATTGCTAACGCTCAAGCTATAAAATATGATTCAGAATCCACCTGTACAGGAAGAGAAGCAACTTTCTCCCATCAAACAAAATTTTCTCCATATATGGGCTTCCCTTTTTAGTATGGTTTGGAACTGCTGCCACAGCAGTTTTGTAGCTACCAAAAAAACCCCACTGAAAACCTCTAACAAGTTTTGATAGCTTTGGCTTCCTTTGTAGTGACAGAACTTTGCCTTTTTTCTTCTTCTTTCTTTTCTTAGCCAACTATTTAACACATAGTTAAGAGACTGAAGTGACTCTCCCACTTTCCAAATTTCCTGAAATAGGTAGAAAAAATTCAACACTAGGTACACTATTGAACAATGACCAGCAATAGTTTGGACATTTTCTTATTAAAAGAGGTTTAATTCTTTCACCATCACACAGGCAGCTAAGGCTGGAAACACCCATCAATAATAACAACAGAATACAGAGGTGTATTTCTTGCATTTCATTATGGAAAAGATTCCTGTTGTGGTTTAACCCCAGCCAGCAACTAAACACCACGCAGCCACTTGCTCACTTCTCCCACCTCCCAGTGGGATTGGGAGGAGAATCAGAAAAAAAGGTAAAACTCATGGATTGAGATAAGAACACTTTAATAATGAAAATGAAACAAAATATTATAATTATAATAATAATAGTAATAACAACAACAATAACAGGAATGTAGAAAAAGAGAGAGAAATAAAGCCCGAGAAAAGACAAGTACAGTTGCTCCCACCCACTGGCGATGCCTGAGCAGCGGCTGGCCCCCCCCAGCCAGCTCCCCCCAGTTTATATACTGAGCGTGGCGGTCTATGCTATGGAATATCCCTTTGGCCAGTTCGGGTCAGCTCTCCTGGCCATGTTCCCTCCCAGCTTCTTGTGCACCTGCTCGCTGGCAGAGCATGGGAAACTGAAAAATCCTTAACTTGGGGTAAGCGCTACTTAGCAACAACTAAAACATCGGTGTGTTATCCACATTATTCTCATACTAAATCCAAAACACGGCACAGTGCCAGCTACTAGGAAGAAAATTAACTCTATCCCAGCCAAAACCGGGACAAGTCCGTGACTGGCACATTTCAGTAATTCCTTAATTTAAAAAAAAAAAAAAAAAAAAAAAAATCAAACCAAAGTACACACTGTGGATACCTTAGGTACATGGGCTGCACATAATGTGCAAGAAAAGTCACAGAGAGCTGGCTTTGTTCAGCCTGAAGAAAAGAAGGCTAGTTGTTATATTCAAATACCTAACGTAAGGTTGCACAGAAGACAGAGCCAAACTCTTCTCAGAGCGAGAGTGTTGAAGGACAAGAGGCAAAAGACACAAGCTGGAATTCTGGCCTGATACAAGAAAAAAATAAATTAGCATGACAGTGGTGAAGCACTGGTAGTAGGCTGATCTGAGAGTTTGTAGAGCTCACATCCTTGGAGATACACAAAGCTGGACTGGACCCAGCCATGAGCAACCTGCTCTAACTGGCATGACTCTGAGCAGGAGCTGACCTCCAAAGGTCCCTTTCAGCCTACATGGCTCTGTACGTCTACATTCTTTGAGCACTAAGAACAAAAATGTATATGTATTAATTTTAGTTATTTTGGCCACATGTGATAATTCTGTAATTTTAATTTTTTAAATAGTAATTCTGACAGCACCTCACATAAAACAGATGTTGTCAAATAAGATTAATCACAAGATTCACTTGTAAATAGCATATATATGTATACAGCCGTAATTCATTGCCAATACACATATTTGAAAATACAAGTCATTTTAGACAAAAGAAGCTGGAAATCAAGCCCTGTAATGTCATTCATGAACAGTCGATTATAAACTTTTGTGTTACATAAAGGGAGATATAGTGACAATTTCAGCTGTACAGGTAAGATGTACTTTAAATTATTAAGGTGCCAGTGACAATATAATAACATTTAACAATGAGAAGTGATTTTTCCATCTTAGAACTCCAGCTGCTGCAGCCTGCCTATATTTGCAGTGACAGTTTAAGAGGTTTTCATCTTGAAATGTTTGCCATACCAGCAGTTATGCCTGCTGGTATAGGAAGAGCTTGGTGTCTTAACTTAAATCATGTTCTTCTTCAGTTGAGACTAATACATCATGGTAGGACCTGCTGAGAAACTGGCAGGTATTTGCTTCTGTCAAACTTTGTATGATGACAGAAACCTCTGTGGAAGGGTAGGATGGACTGCCAGGAGTAGTAACCACTAAATTGTACCCCTATGACTTCAAAGATTTCATTTGCCAGTAGTTTTAGTACAACTTCTAACTGAAAAAGCAAAGGATTTGCCAGAATGTTTGTGAAGAAATTGCTCCAGGAAAAACATACCATTACAAACAATAATTACAAGTCATTAAAAAAAAATTAAAAAAAAAATCAGGAAACAGTGGATAGAAGATACTGTTCAAAGAGACATTACGTCATTAATGCTCAGTCAGGGACAATGACAATAAGAAATCAACTGTTTCTGTCACTAGGCCAGGAGGGTTCCTTACTAGAGAAACAAAGGCCAACTGAATGAAATGCTGCCATTGATGTCAACAAGACCAGGGTCAGAATAAGCACCAGTTGTCCCTGACACAGCCCTACAGTCTGGAAAGAAGATGCAACATGCGCTAGAAGCTCTATCAAGCACTCTGAATCGGTGTAAGAGCATTCCATGGCTAATCTGAGCCAAGTCATTGTGAAAAATCTGCAATGAATACATGAGATTTTATTTTGGAGAGGTGAAAAACGTGAGGTAGTTTAAATTCAAACCATGTTTCTCAACTATACTGGGTGTGCTAAAGCAGAGGGCAGTTTCTATTCTTTAAATGGAAAGGGCTCAGTAAAACTTGTAGTATTACTCCAATTCCTAGGTTAGGTAAATGGGCCTGTCTTTTTCTTTCTTGAAAGTATGAAGAGTAAGAGAGAATTTGGCCCTAAAAAGTAATTTTTAAAAGAACTTACAGGATACCTCCAGTCACTTAAGTTAGGAATGAATTTTAGACAGTTATTTAAACAGGTCTTGCTGCAAACAGCAGATACCGTGAATGAATCTGAATTTTAAATACTACATTTGAATTTACAGATTATGAAATTTAGATCATTAAATAAACAAAACTGTACTTAACTTTATTTTTAACATAGTAACTCATTGTTTGTTTTTAACACATACTTTTTAACATTTCTCAAAAAACCCCAACAACCTTAAAATGAAAAGCCACGTTCTTGTGTCATACAACTTGATTGCCTGGGGAGGCCACGGTAATTAAAAAACAGACATCCCTTTATATGAAGCTGATAAAAGTGTTAGTCAGGTAAGACTTACAAAGGTTTTGAATGCCAAACCAACTGTTATTTTATGCTTTACAAGCAGTTACATTAAAGAATGCAGAAGCAGTATCACACTGCTTATCACACCGATGGTTCCTCAAACGTACAAGCTAACACACTGTGGCACTATAAAGTTAGGCAAAAACCTGCTGTGAACTTCAGAGTGATCACAGATCTATTTTTGTAATCATCAGCTTTTCGTGTTGGAAGTCCTTATGGCATAAATGAAAGCACATCCTCATGAACACCTGCAAAACCCAAACTAGAACACCAATACACCCACACTTTCATACCCAACACGTTGGCTTCCTGAGGTAAGGCATGACCAAAATCCATGTCAAGATTTGTTGTAACCAAGTTGCTAAAATAAAGAGGCACCCGCTAACTAATTCTATGTTGGAGCATGATGTTTAGTCTTCCTGTGGTTGCAAATAGTCATTCTGAGTCTCTCCTGTCTACAGATAGAAGGTACTTGTAAAAGCAGACAGCAAGCATGCTGAGGACACTGTAATGCAGCTACACCTTGGTCTAGGTCATTAACAAACTGGATTTTGCTCTATTTGGAGCTAAGAAACAGCCTGAGACTCTTAGGGGGAAACAGCATACCTCTCTTGCTTTTTTGGACTTCCCATTCATTTGAAAGACTCGTTCTTCCTTACAAATTACATCTGATATTCTAGATACTGTTGGAGCTGCCTTCTGGGTGTTCCAGGCACACATGCAGCTGTCATCAGCCATTCAAGAATCAGCTCGTGCTCGATTCATCTGGTGGTTTGGTACATATTCGTCACCAATTCCAAACAGTGAGGAGACCCCCTACAGAGATCCGACTCAATATGAGTGACTGGGGTGACTCTGGCACAAGAAGGACTATCATTCAGACAGCTTTCTCTTTAAGACTGTGTAGCATATTCAATATCCAATTGCTCCAGAACTGTTGACATCATTCCTTCATTACCTTTCTGTCCTAAGCAAAGTTTGAGACTGGATGATAACTGGTATATGCGGACCAGCCATTTTGGTAGAAATGGATCTTTGTAACAAACCATTCATTATGAAATAGCATAACTTGTTCAATAGTAAGAGAATAAGTTTTGGAAAGACCTTCCTCTAATCCTAGTTCTTCCATTCAGCAATGCATCCAGCTTTTCTCTCTCCATTTTCACACCCTACACTGAGAAACTGTGAAATCTAATTTTATCTTGCAGGCTGTTGAACGATATTAAATAATTTCATCACATCAAAATCACAAAAACGCACCACAAAATACCTTGCTGGGAAACTGAAGCTTGACAAATTAATGCTAGATGCAATGTGCAGAATTAGAATACTGTGAGAGAGGGTGCAATTTCAGGAGCCACTATGACCTGACTTAACGCCCAGCAAAACAGGGAGTTCCCCCTTTTTACCACCTACTCACTGTGTTCCCCTTTGCTCATGGCCACATGTTGCCATCTCTTATCTTGTGCCAAAACAAAAGCATGTTGGATGACTCCATGACCTGCTTTTAACTAAATTAAACAGTGCATTAGTGTGTGTCATAGTAACTCTATGAGGGAACAGGTGAGTGTCAGTACCAGTACAGAGGAGAGGAAGGGATCATACATACAGGAACAGTGGAGCAAGCAATTACCACCACAGTGATAACAAGCCACTAGATACACAAAGCTCCCTAACTGGCCTTCCAAGTAACTACGGAAGTGGTGGAAGTTGTGATGGACTCTACCTCTAAAAATTTCAAGACAAGAGAAGATTTTCTTAAGCGGGGTAAACATCAATACAAAGTAGAATTAATTTTAGGAAGCACTACAGACAGCTCTACATACGAGGTCAAGATTAGATGATGTTCCTTTAAGAATTTATTTACACAGCTTCTAAGTACTACTTAAACAAATGCATGCAGCACAGACCTTTGCAACATTGAGTGTACAAGCAGAGAAGTGATGACTGCTAACCCACTTTATGTGACTTGAGAAACAGTGTATCTCAGCAGCTCAGCAACACTGTTTAATAGACGGGGAGGTGAGCCCAAGCTGCATGTGGGTGCATTTCAAGTAAGTGCTGATAATTTCTCTGAGAGTTCACATTGCTCATAATCTCTCAGAAGGCAGTGATCAGAGCATCTGAACATGCATGTTGGACATAGCCAGATCTACAGACAAAGTATATAACAAGTACTTACTGAAATAAAGATGTTAAGCAGGTTTTCCAGTGTTGGGAGCTGTGGAATCAGTTTCTGTACCACTTTGCTAAACGCTTCAAATATAGAATGATCATATATGCTTGTCAGATAAAAGCTGGAAAAAAACGTCACCACATTTTCCTTTTAGCCACATACTGTGAACATGATGTACCTTTCATAATATGAGTGAAATGAAATATTGTCAAACAGCAAGTGCCTACACTTATGCAATTATCCCTTGTGATCAAAAGTCACGTTATGACTGAAACAAGGGCTTCATCTCTACACACACACAAAAAAAATCCTAGACACTGCAAACTAGACCTTGATGTAGAACTTCATGATGCAACTCCCACCTTGGTATTCTTACAGAAATATTTTTCAAATTGCAGGAGAGGAATATTGCTGAGTATGTCTGTTGTGATCTACTTTTTGAAAGCTGTGGACCATTTATCAATGCAATGATGCAGTCAAGTAGTTAAGAGCCCTAAAGAGCTGGCATGTTCACGAAGCAGGTCTCTCTTTTTAACATATTTGTACTTGGCTTTAAGTGCTAAGGAAGCCATGACAACTTGATGTCCCCTAGTTCCCAGACTGCAGAAGTCCCACTATTTTTCATTATTTGCTATAATAATCTGCTTTATCAGCAGACATAAGGCAAAGATACAGCACCTGTCTTCCCAAACGGCTCCAAGCAGGCTGCAGCAGTGAGGACTAGTGATTGGGAGGGGACTGTGAGGCACAGAGGTTTCAAAGAAGGCAAAAGCGATGTAGGTGGCATATACACTCTACTGGCTGGAGCTCTATGGGTTGCTGCCACTGTCCAAGCAACTTATTTCAAGACAGCAGCTACAGCAAAACCTGGTAGGACTCTGGCGTATTTGTCATCTGTTTTTAAGCACATCTCCTCTCCATCTTTCCCTTCAAAACGGCAATCAGAAATAAGATACTTTGTTTGGCTCAGGTCAAATGCAATGTCTTTTCCTTCATATATCAAAAGCTTGTTGCCTGCTACTTCAAGAGAACAGAAAATGGTAATTTGTCAAATGAGCTGCTCTCCTCTTTAGGATTCTCTCTATAGAGCAGCTTTTCTCACCTGAGGTGAATCTTCTCCAATCCAGCATCTGCAAGGTCATCATTTGCCCTTTGGTGAATATCTCTTTGCGTTTCAATCTTGTGATCATCAGATAAACCATCCACTTTATGGATAAAGATTTCAAAGTTGATATCTGGATTCACTTTATAGGCTCTGGTCACAGTAAGATGCAGCCGAGCTAATGCTTCCATATAATCATCCTAGTGAAGGAAACAGAAAAGCTACAACTGTATGAAAGTTCTTAAAAATATATATATAATTTTATGATACTTACTTTTAGATAATGCTACAGTTCAATGACAGTTTAATTTTTTTATTTCTTGTAAGTAGAAGCCTGAGCCTACATCCAGAATGTGCATCAATCTCATGCTGTCAGCACTTAGGAATCTGAGCAAGAACCTTGAGATATTAAAGCAACTTAGTTAACTTTTGAACATACTGTAGACAGATTAAAAATAACCAAGCAGCTCTTCAAGTTTTAGCGACTTTGTCGTAATGTGTGTTTGTGATGTAAGTTAAGTCATTTATTTGCTTTGAAAAAAGTCTGTGCTTTCCAACCCATTTGTGTACTGCTGAAGAAGAAAAGAAAAAAGCAGCTTAAAGCCCCATTTTTTACCTGAGAATCAATAACAAATATCAGTGCTCCAGTGCCTCTGAAAATCATCTCATAGTCAAATGTAGGGTCAAAGAAGTCAATTTGCCCAGGAAAATCCCATATCTGAAAGTTGACAAAGGAGCTGTTGGAAACATCCTCTCTGCAGATTTTGTTTGTGCTCTCCAAGAAGAGAGTCTCATTCGGCGACATTTTGTGAAAGACAACTTTCTGAATGGAAGACTTCCCACTTCTTCTCAATCCCATGAGCAGTATTCTTGGCTTAACTTCAGTACTGAAGGGATCATTGAAATCCAAAACTGAATAAAATCACACAAGAAGAAAAGTAATATACTATGGCAATATAATTAGTAGCTGCTAGATAACATGCACTTGACATTTATTTTCAAGACATTTTTACTTGGATTTATGCATATGTTACCAATTTTTAAGTTTCAGGAGTGGTGCTACAGGCATTTTAAGTTGAAAGTTGCCCCTTAGGCTATACTATCAGAAAACCTACTTCTCACCTGTAAGACAGAGACTGCAGAAGGCTTGATCGTTCAGTTTGTATACTTGAAAAATGGTTTATCACACAGAGACATCCTAAAATATCTAATTTTACTGTAATTAACACTATCCCACGTACATTTGAACCCAACTTTAAGAGATTATCATCCAGTAAGAAATACCCTTGTCAACGGATAGTGACATCACACTGCTGGAAGAAAGGAGTAAGTTTGTGTTAGTTACACCTGTGTGATCTTCCTAAGGCTACACAAGAGCTTCCTTCCTCTATAGTAAATAAATAAACAGATAAATAAAATCACACATCCCAGGAGCTATAGGAAGAGGGCAACTCAGCAGGCACACAGTCCCTCTGTGTTGGGACTTACAACACAGGGCTGAGCCCATGAGAAGTCCTTTTCTAAGGTGGTTAGGGTTTCACCTGCCATTGAATAATTTGTCTTATGATTTGTAAAAATTTCTTGTCCAATAAATAAGATTACAGCGTAACTCCTGCCTATCTGCAAAACAGTGATTTCATTGTGTTACCTGTCACAGTTTGAAACTGGTACCACTAAACCAGAACATTTTCTAGTGCTGATGCACTTATAGTAGCATAAAGGTAGTTATGGAGTAAACTATACTGTTACTTCTGTAAGGACATGAATGTATAGCTATCCATACCTATAAGTACATCAACTGCCGTTTCAGGTATCTCTAATCAAAACAGCTACAACAGTCTAAATTGCTGCATTTAGTTGGCCTATAGCTTTGCAATGTCCTTCGGTGCTGAGCTGAAAACGATACTGCACATAGATGTAAAAAGCTTTCAAACAGCTCTGTGATACCCCGTCTGCAGCGTCAAACACAAGCCATGCAAAAAACCTGAGCTGTCAATGCTAAATCTGGAGAGTAAGCACACAGTGGTCAGGTTTAAAATACTGATCAGACAACAGGCTAAACACACTAGCTGTCAGGCAGACCTTCTCCCACCCACTGCAGTACAGACTATTCAACATCATTCAGAGCACAACATAATTGCATTTCTTTCTCTCTTTCTGCTGGGATAAATTTTGAATTGCAGGAAACCAGCACACATTTGTTCATATGCATCCTTCCTGTATATGCTCTGCATACTGTAAGTAATCGACTTTACTCCAAAAGTAGGAAAATCCAAACCAAGAAACCTCAGCAACACAATTTGAATCTGCCAATTTATTACGCAGCCTTATGGGCCAAAAAACATGGAAAGCTTGAAGGAATCCTTCGCCCAGGAGCATGTTTTACACCCAGGGGTGCTGGTCACATCCACCATCTTATGTTCCTCAAGCCTCACTCACAACTTTCAGAAACACAAGAGCAGCCTGCTGGGAGGGCACAGAACCTTGTTCACGTCTGTTTGTGCCTCCTGAGCTTCAGTCGCCCAGAACTAGGGCTTCTCAACTGAAGGTCTTGCAGTGTTAGCAAAAAACATCCCCTTGGCACCATCTACTGGCTTGCGAGTGGTTATGCCACTCAGCGTGGGCTGGTGTCACCACAGAGACCAACAGGAATTGCAAACCATCGGTGGGATCCTATCCATTTCAAATACATCTGAAAGGCCTGACAGGTAGTATCACTTACTGCGCTCGTGAAACACTGCCAGGCCGGAGCAGTGCGCAGATGAAACTCCTTCAAGCAGAACAGCAACAGGTAACTCCATAAGAATCTCATCCTCCTAACGCAGCAACGGCCAACTTCTGATGATCCACAGACAACAGATTTAGGAAGTAATAAACTGCAGTCAACACGCTGCTCTACTCTTCCTGTCAATGTGAACACTTGATAGTACCCTCCTGTTTCTTGCAGCCACAGGTGCCTACAATACTTCATGTCTATAGAAGAGTAATAAACCTCTGCTCTAGGAAAATGTAACAATATTTTATGTTTTGGGGGTACAGTCTTGTCAATAAAGCAAGCCAAAGGCACAGGATTTTCCTGTGCGATGTTTCCTCCACCCCATTCTCTTCTCTAACGCACAAATCTGCCACAGCTGCCAAATGCATAGTCACAATTTCGCTAATGTGCATACATCACGCAATCTGCATTTTGGCCATCAGAAGGGAAAATAATTTATTCAAAGTTTTACAAGAACTAGTTCGAATAAAATACTTTATAAAGGCATATAAACAACAGTCTTCTCATTGAAGCTTTATTGCACATTTCAAAAAATTATAAAACCTCCCATTTGCTCTGTACGCAACAGAACTTAGGAAGTGTAATTTGCTATGGATTTGCACTTTGTGTTCCCTTCCTCTTCCCACCACAGTAACACCAACTTCCCCTGTATGTCTTATGACATATCCTCCAAATAACAGATATGGCATCCTGTGGCTGATCTGGAAGCTCAACACATGCCTGTTGGCTAGACCGTACACACGTCTCCACCGGTGTGCCAGCTGCTGCCACAGAGAATGCACACATCTGCTTGCCCGTCCCTCTGGGGATGCTTTCATTTGTGTCCCTCCTCTCTTCTGAACGCCAGTTTTCATCCAACTCGTGGGACCTTAATCATCTTTGAGATGTCTTTTGTTCAAATTTGGTTGAAGGTGGACAGCAGTCTCCAAAGTTCTGACCAGTGATGAGACAACCGGAAGACAGGCTACCTATGTAACTCCCCTCTCTTTAAGAAATAGGCTAAAAACTCACATGTATCTAAAAAATATTTTAAATAACTTGGGGGTTTACATTGTTGTTGTATTAAATTATTCCAGGCTGTTAGATTTTTATGGACTGTAACACTCACTAGAAAGAAATTGCTTTATATTAAAGCCACACTAAAAAAAAAATACAGTTGCAAGTGCAGAGTTACTGATGAGAAGAATGAACACTAGCTCTTCTGCTAGTAAGGCTGTCATTTAGCTTTTGAAATCCTGCCAGTTCAAAGACAGGGAAATGTAAATGAGTATCATCTAAACCTGACTAGATAGCAAGGCTGCTGTAGCACTTTCCTCTGAGAGAGAGTTAAGAGATTACCTTATATGTAAAGGAATTGGACGATGCGCTGCCGGCCCACATTCCTTTGCAGAGTACATGACAACTCCTTCTTTAATTTGCCACAGAAATGCCAGTAGATGTATCACTGCAACTTCCCAGACTAGGTTACTGAGTGAGATCATAATACGCCTAAGAGAAACACTAAACTCTTCTCTATTCTGTAATGGGGAAGATAGTTTTCCCTACTGTGAGATGCCACATATTTCCTGCCTTATTCACTTTAGCAAAGAGTAAATGCTATAAAATGCCAGTTTCTAATGCATTATCAACAGTCCTTCATATTTCAACTTTTCTAAGCAGCCATAAAGAACAGAAGTCATGCTGGTTAGAGGCTGTATCTTTGAAGCATTCACAAATAAAACTTAACAAACCCCAAAGCACTTTCCCCACAGAGCAGCACTCAATTCCTTACAAAATTTCTGTAATTGCAGCTGTATGTCCTTGCTTATGGAGTGCAATTTGCGTGCACTGCAATGTGCAGAAGAGCCCAGCTCTGAGGAGTTAACTGAGAACTGCACGTAGCAGCGCTGACCTTCCTCACTGGGACGCACAGTACACAATGATACTTTAAGATCTCGATCTCCTTCACCCTATTAAAGATACTCATTGATAACTAAAATAGTTTTTGAAGCCCATCCTGAATTCCACATCAATTGCAATTAATTGTCAAAGCAGGCAACTAGCAGTGCTTCACAGGCATATGTGATGGGGATGCCACACGGGAACGTGTATTTGTGGATCTCACCAGTTTTCAAACACCCAAATAAAGCACTGTAGTTCATCTGCTCAAGTGACATCAAGCCAAAAGAAATTATTTTGCTCATGTTACTGTCTGTAAGGTAACAACCCTCTGAGTCTAGCATTAAAATCATAGAATATGATTCCCATTTTAAACTAATACAGCTAATAATGATTTTTTTTTGCCCACTAGTGCCATTATGTTATTTTTAAGTTTTAACCTGTAAAGGAGAATTAACAGTCCCAAACTTTCCACTCATGTACCTTCAAGCCCATTGATCTCGTAGCATTTCCAGTGCTACTGTGGCTGTGATATCTGCAGCACTTTCGAGTGCTGTCAAGACAATAGCCTTACAAAACACTTACAATGAACATCTTCAACGCTATCAGATAGCCTGAGCCTAGAGAGTTAACAGGAAAAGCTTATATGCAATCAAGAAAGCCGTTCAGCTACTGTGGGTTCATAAACATTGCAGAAATGCCTGGTGGAAGGAAATTCTTGTGGCTAAAGAAAAGACTCAGAACCAGAAGACCTGGTTCCACTCTGCCACAAGTGCAGTACTCTGCAATGACATGTCTTAAAGCTACTGCCTTGGACACTCTGCAGAGGGTTTCCCCGCTTCTAAATGCTTTTTAATTGCATATATCAAAAATATGACTAGGCTTTATGTAAACTAAGCGCTTTAAGGTCTCTGAATATGACCCTATGTGTAAAGTAAAAAGATTAAGAGGAGGACAAGAGCCGTGGTTGCAGCATTCAGGCTGGAGACGAGAAACCAGTATGGGGTGAGAAATGACCAATGTGAAGTTTTGAAATCTCCTGTATGCCTACAAGCACAAATTATGTTTTTACTTTTAAGCCTGACTTCTCCCTTCACTTTCAACAGTGATGCATTGAAGCTGTTCTCCTCATATTGCCCTTTCCACTCCTTCTTTGTAGAAAAGTGGAGGCTGTGATGCTGAATCTTGGACTACTTACTGTACAGACAGATCCAGCAACACAGAGGACAAAAACTGGGAGAAGCAAGCCCCT